GACCCAGTGCGATGAAAACCTGGCCTGGATGAGGCCCCTGGGGGTAGGCCTTGCAGGGAGCCACCCCCGGAAGGTCCCCTTCCCTCACCAGACTGACTCGCAGCCTCAGCCCTCATCCCCTGTACGTGAACCCAGAGCACCAGAGATGGCGTGCCATGTTTCTGGGGAACCCCACTTCCTGCTGACCATGCTGTCCATGCCGCCCGCAGGTCCCCGAGCTCGTGAGCGTGCTGCGCTGCAAGCTGCGGGAGGCCCCCGAGGAGCACATGCTGCCAGCGGCCCAGCACAGCGTGTACCTGCTGGCCAGCCAGCACTGTGCCGCCGTGGTGTCCAGCCTCCTGGGCAGCACCCTGCCCTTCGACAGGTACCCCACCCGAGCACCTGCATCCTGCCAGTCGCTGCTGCTTGCCAGCACTCCCCCAGGGCACATCCCTGCCCTGCTTCTGTGGGGGCACAATGCCCAGGGCCCTCCTGGTATGGGTTCCGACATGCCCGCCCCAGGAAGGCCTCCTCACCCCTGGTGTCCATGCCCAGTGCCCACCTGCCCTCCCCCTGTTCCTCCCAGGACTGCTTGCGGATTGGCCTTGGGGCCACGTTGTTATTTATTGGGAAGGCAGAGTTACAGAGCAGGCAGACCATTCCCAGATGCTGGCAGCAGCCGGGCTTGGCCAAGCTGAAGCCCGGCTCCCCAGCTGGCCCTCTGCCCTGAAGAAGGGACCCCAGGCCCTCGGGCAGCAGTGCCGGCCTCCCATTCGTGCGGCCCACTGTCAGCGTACTTGTGTCTCCTGTGTAAGAGTAGGTGGCAGGGACAGAGGACCAGTGACACAGCACGAGAAGACACGTGATGTGGCCCACCCCTGCCCTAGGCACAGCTGGGTGGGAGTTGCACATAGTGCCTGCAAGCCACACCCTCCGTGGCTGACGTCCACAGTGGGGCCCACTGGCGCTCATCTGCCAGACATGCAGCTCCACTTGGCAGTGAGCACGGGCTCCACAGGGCAAGCCACCCCGAGGCCCTGGCTATGGTCTGGGCTGTGCCTTCTCTTGCCCTGGCGATAGCCAGGATCCTCTCTGCTGTCCGAACTCCAGCCACAGGCCCTTAGTGCCCGGGAACCCCCTCTCCCAGCACGCTGGTCCCCCATCCAGGCTGGCACTTGGCTCCAACACCCATACAGGCCCCACAGCCAGGGCCCACTGGGTCACCACTGCGAGCCACAGGATGTAGGCAGGCGGTCCACGCACGGGGCTCAGCAGGCCTTGTTGGCTTAGATCCTGTCTTCCTGTTGTTTCTTTCTGTGAGCCAGCATGGCTGCTGGTCCCCAGCGCCCATCCTCCAGGGAGACCACACTCCCCTACGGCCCCCATCTCCCACCCTGTAGGCTTGTGGCCGCCTGTCCCTGGGCAGGCCGGAGGCCAGGACGCAGGGCCAACAGTTTCATTTCCGTCTCTTCCTGCAGCCACACCTGTGCCCTGTGGCGGGCGCTGGCTGTGGAGCCGGCTCTCAGCACCCGGGTCCTGGGACTGCTCCTGGACAAGCTGGCCAAGGACGTGCCCTTTAAGGAGAGCAGGGCCTTCCTGCCAGGCAGCGCTCCAGACCGAGTGGCCACGCCACTGCCCCTCGCGGTGAGCACAGCTGGCCAGCCCCCGCCCAGGCTCCTGGCGCCTGCACAGGTGTTGGCCCCCGAGGGAACCCACATCACATTTTATCCTTCAGGGAAAAAAAAAATCCCAGCTTGGCAGCATCTTGAGCTGTAAAATACCTGGGAGGACTGTCCTTCCCCCTTCCCAGAACAGATGGCCCGGCCCCCAGGGAGCGCCCACTGAAGGGTCTCCGGCCTATCTCGGTGCTGCTTCTCCCCAGGCCACCTGTGCACTCCGAGAGGTCGTGTCTGCCCCCGCGTCTGGGCCCGCAGTGCTGCAGCTCTTCCCGCAGCTTTTCGTGGGCCTTCTGCTGCGGGTCAGCAGCACCGTGGGCGTCCAGCTGCCCCGGAACCTGCAGACCAAGGAGAGGAGGGGTGCCGGCTGGACTGCAGGAAGCCTGGAGCCCTGCAGGTAACCCCAGCTCGTGTGAGCCTGGTGAGAGGGTGGGCCCTCACTTGGGGCGAAGCCTGGGTCTCAGCCCCTCAGCTGCTATGGCCAAGAGGCTGGAGTTACTGCATGGGTACTGGGCTGCCCCTGTGCTCTTGACATTCTGAACCACTCCTAGCAATACACCCACCCTCTCTCAATCCTGCTCTGGGCTTGGGTGTGCACTCCAGCCACCCCACTGTCCTCACAGCCCTAGCAGGGCCTCCCAGACCCCGATGGGCCCGTTGCGCTGCCCCCAGGTGCGGGCATGGGCGTTAGCAGGCTGACCGGGGCCTGATGGGTGAGGCCGTCTGTTGGGTGTGGCTGTACTTGTGCCTGTGTGCACTCTGGTCTGAGCCTGCACAGAAGCTGCCTGCATGACGGGCTCCAGGGAGCCCAGGGACTACCCAAGGTGGAGGCGGAGGGCAGGGAGAGTGACCAGCAGCTGGGCCCTTCCCTGGGTGCGGGTTGGCCCCTGGTCAGGTGCTGCCCTGGCAATGAGCCCTGTCACCCCCAGCTCTGCGGTGGAGGCTCTGAGGGCCGTGCTGCTTCAAGGCGGTTGCAAGGACGTGGAGCAGTGCCTTGCACAGGACGGGGGCTGGGCACTGCTGAAGACCTCCGCGGGCCACGAAGAGGGAGTCAGCCGCCTGGCCAGGTGAGCCCTGCCACCTGGGGACCTGGAGTCCTCAGCATCTGGGGCCAGATGGCTGGAGCTCAGTCGGGCTTGGGGTCCATGGGGAGTCCAGGCACCTCCCGCCCCCCACACCTCTGCCGGCCTCCTTCCCAGTGCCATGGCCAGGTATGCAGGTCCCCGGCTCCCCCTGGTGCTGAAGCCCCTCGCATGCCCTCAGGGCAGCCTGCTCGAGGTCCAGAGGGTCACCTGCACTGCCTTCCTGGCTGAGGTACGATCACGGGGAGCCCTCCAGCTGTGTGCCCCACCGCAGCCCTGCCTGCTGGGACATCAGCCACTCCATGCGTCCCCCCACCCTGCCATGCCCACAGTGGGCTGCACACATGGGCAGTGGGAGCTGGCTGACATGGACACAGCTGCCCCCTCTGCCCCCAGCTGCTCAGCAGTAATGTAGCTGACGACCTGACCCTCCTGGAGTCGCTGCTGGACAGCCTGGTGGCACGGCAGCAGGACCCCTGTGTGGGCGTGCGGCGGCTGGTGCTCCGCGGCCTGGCCAACGTGGCCTCCGGCTGCCCCACTAAGGTAGGCCTACGGGCAGGGCTGTGGGTGGGGCCGGGGGCAGCTCCGCCACAGTTTGGGGACCCTCAGAGCGTACGGCTCCTCCAGGTGCAGGCCCACGGCCCGCTGCTGCTCACAGCCATGATCAGTGGCCTGGATGACGGCGACCATCCCCACAGCCCAGTTGCCCTGGAGGCCATGGCGGGGCTGGCGCGGCTGGCGAACCTGGTAGAGTTGCGCTCTGCCCTGCTGCACGTGGCCATCCGGATCCGGCCCTTCTTCGACAGTGTAGGCACCCACCCCACCCCACCCCCGGTAGGGACATCCTTCCAGCTCACGTCCTCGCAGGCCAGGGCTGATGCTGGCCACACCCACAGGAGCAGGTGGAGTTCCGGACAGCATCCATCCGCCTCTTCGGGCACCTTAACAAGGCGTGCCACGGGGCCTGCGAGGACGTGTTCCTGGAGCAGGTGGTTGGGGGGCTGGCTCCCCTGCTGCTCCACCTGCAGGATCCGCAGCCCCCCGTGGTGGACGTGAGTAGCCAGCGGGGCAGGGTTGCAGCAGGGAGGGTGGGCCAGTGGGTCGAGGCTTAGCGCCCGCCCCACAGGCCTGCAGGTTTGCGCTGCGCATGTGTGTCCCCAACCTGGACTGCGAGCAGCTGGAGGCCGTGTTCCAGCAGCACCTGCAGGAGGGCCGCGGCCTGCACTTCGGGGAGTTCCTCAACGCTACCTGCCGGCTCCTGGTGAAATGGTGCCCGGGGTGGGGTGGTGCCCGAGGCTGCCTGCAGGCCCGTCCTGACCAAGCTCGCTCTGGGCAGATGCACAGCTTCCCGGACCTGCTGGGCCGCCTGGTGAGCACCAGCCTCTTCTACTTCAAGAGCAGCTGGGAGGCCGTACGTGCCGCAGCCCTGCTCTTCACTGGTGAGTAGCCCGGCCCGCCAGCCCGCCAGCCCGCCAGCCCGCCAGCCCGCAGGCCCCTGCCGCCCCAGCTCAGCCCGCCAGCCCGCAGGCCCCTGCCGCCCCAGCTCAGCCCAGCCAGCCCGCAGGATCCTGTCGCCTGCTGCCCCACCTGCCCTTCTGCCCGCCCTGCAGGGTTCCTGGTGCTGCACGCCGACCGGGAGTTCCTCCCGCAGGTGGACCTGGAGCAGCTGCTGGCCGGTAACCACCCCCCCCACGGCCCCCGATCCTGAGGCCAGGCACCCCGGGGCCCCCCCGATCCTGAGGCCGGGCACCCCGGGGCCCCCCGATCCTGAGGCCGGGCACCCCGGGGCCCCCCGATCCTGAGGCCGGGCATCCAGGGGCCCGCTGACTATCCTGGGTTTCGGGATTTTTCCTTGCCACTGGTGACCTCATCCTCTCTGGTAATTCACGGAAACTTCCGAACTGTTCCAGAGCGCTTAAAAACACTAAAAAAGGAAAGCTGCCTTCCCGCTGGCTCCGCAGCCCTCCCAGTAGGCCCGTGGGGAGGGCGGCGGGCGGGCCTGCGCGTGCAGGAGCGTCCCCCAGCACCGCCCCTACTCCTAGGCCTGCAGCTGCTGCTCGCCGACCCTGCCCCCTGCGTGCGTGCCGCGGCCGCCGAGACCCTGGGCCGCCTGGTCAAGTTCGCCTGACGCTGCCCACGGGCCCGAGGGGGCGGCCCCATCCTGCCCTCAATAAAGTGTTTGGCCCCGGTGATGGTGTCCCGAGCCGCGCAGTGCTGGGTGGGAACGGCGCTGTGGACGCCACAGGACACGGTGGCCGGCATGGACTGTATTGGCCACGCAGGGCGCTAGGTGAAAAGGCGGACCGTGCCGTCCGCCCCTGAGGAGAAGATCCAGGGCTGCGTGGGGTGGAAGACGATGTCCAGCACACCCAGGTCCCGGGTCAGTGCATGCCCCTTGAGCACCTTGACTGGCACCAGCAGCGGGTTCTGCAGCAGGTCACTGCGGGAAGGGAGCGAGGGGTGAGGTCGGGCCGCGGGCAGAGCACCTGCACACCCTGCCGCCGTGAGGGGAAGCAGAGCCGGGCACGCACCTGTACACCATGCCATGGCACACAATGACGCTGCCGTCGTCCGAGCCGGACGCGAAGAGTGGGTATCGTGGGTGGAAGGCCACTGCCCGCAGCGCCTTCTTATGGTGCCTGCAGGGCCGGGCAGGTGGGCTCAGGAGGGAGGGAGGGGGCTGGGCAGTGCCCCCCACGTCCCCCGCCCCCGCCCTCACCTCAGCACTTGGTAGGGCCTGGTGGAGAGGTCCAGGTCAAACCACGTGAGCTTGCTGTCGTAGCTGCCGCAGATGAGGTTATCTCCTGCGGGGACAGACGGCAGTGGTAGCACCCCGCAGCACCTCCACTGCAGGCACCCCCCGCTCCAGGTACACACGCCCTCACCTGCAGGGTGCACAGCCATGCTGGAGACCCACTTGCAGTTGGGCAGCAGTTTCTTGGTCAGCTCCTGTCGCAGCAGGTGGTAGAGGCGCACGCTGCGCTGGGAGGCCACGAACAGGAAGGGCCGGCTGGGGTGGAAGGCTACTCGTTGCACCTGCCCGTGGCTGCGGCGGAAGGGGCTCTGGCTGCGCCGCCGGCTCAGCTGATGGATGAGCACCTGGGTGTGTCCCTGTGCAGCCAGCACCACGGCCAGGTAGTCCCCACGCGCGTGCCATGTCACCTGTGCCACTGGCTGCAGGAAGGCAAGGCCGGCTGAGTGATGGGTGCTCTGCCCATCCCTGGCGTCGCCGCACTCCCACCCCCACACCCCGCACCTTGTCATGACGGATGCGCAGCCGGAGGCCCTGTTGCCGCTCCTCTTCAGAGGCTTCCTGCCAGCGGGCAGGCTGCATGGCTGGCTCCTCGGCTGGCTCAAAGGTGCCCAGCAGCTGGTCGGTGCCAGCCACCACCAGCCTGTCCCCCAGCAGTGGGTTCAGCAGCAACACCATGTCCTCCCTGCAGGTGGGGCCGTGGCAGCCTTAGCACGGCCTCAACCCCTGCCCCCCACCCTTGCCTTCCCCTGGGGCCCCCACTCACGTGGCCACAGCCACCAGGCACACGGTGGGATTGGGGTTCCAGGCTACACTCCTCAGCACGCCCCCGACAGCCACGGTCCTCATGCAGCGGGCAGTGGCCACCTCCCAGAGCCGTAGGGAGCCATCATCCGAGCCTGGACGTGGCACAGGGGACCCTCAGCGCCAGGCACTCCCACTACCCGCCCTTGCCACCTGGCCAACAACCCACCTGAAGCCAGCCACTGGCCTCCCGGGGAGACACTGAGGCAGCGGACAAGGTCACTGTGGCCCCTGTAGACCTGGGGGAGGGCAGGGAGGCAGTGAGCCCGCAGGCCCAGGCACCCCATCCCTTCCCAGCCCATTCCACTCCCACCTACCAGGGCCTGGCATGTGGGGAACGGCTGCAGGTCCCTGGGCCGGGGCAGCTTGGGGATGAGGTCCTCGGGGTCCACGTTCACCTGGGGGACAGCACCGGTTTACTCCCGCCCCGCCCCCCGGGAGACAGTGTCCACTCCTGCCCCCGGCCCAGTCCCCCGCGCACCCTCATCTTGCGCTGCCGTGGACACAGGTAGAGGTCAAGACAGCGCTCGAAGCGCTCATGGATAAAGCGGGCGTAGGCGGGCACCGCACGGAGGCTGGGGAAGCTGCGAGGCAGCGAGCTGGGCTTGCGCTCCTCCGGGTCCTGCTGCTCCCAGGCCAGGCGCTGCGGAGGCAGGAGGGGTGAAGGCATGGAGGGGCATCACAGGCAGGGGGGCCATGGCCACCGTGCAGGCACCCTCCACTGCAGGCTCACCTCTTCCTCACTGGGCAGGTACTCGGGTGGAGGGTTGTAGGACTCGGCGTGGCCAGGCAGGGCCAGCTTAGGCGCAGGCACATGCATCTTGTGGCGCGCCAGCACAGCGTTGGGGTCCTCCTGGGCCCAGAGGTCGTAGAAGCTGGGTGTGGGGTCCCGGGGCCGCCGGGGCTGGATCCAGCCCATCTTGATGGCGTGCACTAGGCGGGAGACCTACAGAGCCCGTGGCGGGGAGGTCAGGGGGACAGGGCCGGCTAGCCGGGGCACGGAGGACGGCTGGGGGGCACGGAGGACGGCTGGGGGGCACGGAGGACGGCTGGGGGGCACGGAGGACGGCTGGGGGGCACGGAGGCAGTACCACTGCACCTTCTCCTTCTCCACCAGGGAGGGGATGAAGCTGCGCTTGTCCGCCGGGCGATTGGTCACAGGGTGGATCATGGTGTCTCCACTGAAGAAGTCGACTGCGGGCTGGGGAGGTGCGTGGGGTGAGCTCCAGGCCAGCCGCCCGCGCCTCCCCAGGGCCAGGGCCTCTGCCTACCTCATACGGGTCGAAGCCCATGTCCCCAAATCGGCCGCTCTGCAGCCGCCGCACCAGGGCCACCTGCTCATCCGTCAGCCGCACGTCTCGCCCCGTCATCCGGTCCTGCACAGTACGCCTGAGGCCACCACGGTTGTCACACGTGTGGTTGGCGTGCAGGGCCCCCGGCCCCCACCCCGCCACCCACCCCCGCACACCAGTAGTCGGGGTCCTCCATCTTGTCCAGGAACTGGTCTAGCTCGTCCCGTGTCCGCAGGGGCTTGTAGATGCGACGGCCGTCAAGGTCGTAGCCCACGTGGGGGAAGTCGTCGTACCACTCCAGGGGCACATTGCCCACCGTGTTGCGAATGTCCTGCAGCCGTCACAGGGGCATCAACGCCTGACCCTGCCCGCCCCAGGCTGGCCTGCTCTGACGTGGCACCGGCCGGCGCCGAGCCGCACCTTCCCACTTTCCACTGAAGTGGTGCCAGCCCCAAGCTCCCCCCGCCTCGGATTCCTTGGCCAGGGCTCCGGGCAGCCACAGACAGGGATGACCTCACCGGCCACGGCTCCCCCCCGGCAGGGGCCTTAGGGAAAAGTGGGCAGCTATGAGGGGAGACCGGGGCCAGGGGAGACCCCGGGACCCATGATGGGTGTCAGAAGCGCCTGCCTTTGGCTTGGCAAAAAGTGCGCCCGGGCACTGCCCCAGGGTGGGTGCAGTAGCCACTCCTGCTGCAGCCCCTGCCAGCCACCAAGCTCACTCCTCCCAGCACGGTATCACTGTCCAGGCAGCCGATTCCTGCCACAGTCACCATGTGGGGTGGGAGGGCCCCCCAGGACCCCTGGCTCCAGCACCTCGCACAGTCCCATCCTGGCCTATGGCCCTCAGCTGGCAGAAGCAGGAGAAAGGAGAGGTGGGGTGGCCCACCCCCGCAGAGCCGGGGCCAGCCTGCAGGGCAGGTGCAATGGGGCAGTTCCACTGGGGAACCTTGGAGCCACAGCTGAGGGGCCGACTCCTGACCCTGCCCCTGCCAGACGTGGTGCACCGGGACGGACAGACGGGCAGACAGGACACAGCAGGGACAGCCGCGGGGACTCGGTTCTGCAGGGGCGGGGTGGCCACTGCGCGAACCCGGGGACCCCAGCCCCCGCCCCCAGGCCCGGAGACTGGAAGGCGCCCCAGAAGCGCGGCCCGGGGAGGCAGAGGGACCACGGCCCGCCGGCCTCCGGGGGCGGGGCGGGGCGGGGCGGCGGCCGGCGCGGGGGAGGGGCCCGCCGCTATAAAGGCGCCCCTCGCGGCCCCGCAGCAGCCCGGGACGCACGTGTGCGCGCCGCCCCGGCAGCCGCCACCGCGGGGCGCAGCCAGACCCCGCGCCTCCCCGGCCCCGGCGGCCCCGGCGGCCCCGCGAGGCCCGCGGCGGGCGCAGGCGGCGGCATGCGCGGCGCACGGCGGAGCTGACGCCGGCCCCCGGCCCACCCAGCCCTCGCCATGCTGCGCTCGGCGCCGCCGGGCCGCTACCTGTACCCCGAGGTGAGCCCGCTGTCGGAGGATGAGGACGGCGGCAGCGAGAGCTCGGGCTCGGACGAGAAGCCCTGCCGCGTGCACGCAGCACGCTGCGGCCTCCAGGGCGCACGGCGCAGGCCCGGGGGCCGCAGGGCTGGAGCCGGCGGGCCGGGGCCAGGGGGGCGGCCGGGCCGCGAGCCCCGGCAGAGGCACACGGCGAACGCGCGCGAGCGGGACCGCACCAACAGCGTGAACACAGCCTTCACGGCGCTGCGCACGCTCATCCCCACCGAGCCGGCGGACCGCAAGCTCTCCAAGATCGAGACGCTGCGCCTGGCCTCCAGTTACATCTCACACCTGGGCAACGTGCTGCTGGCCGGGGAGGCCTGCGGGGACGGGCAGCCGTGCCACGCCGGGCCAGCCTTCTTCCATGCCCCGCGCGCGGGGAGCCCGCCGCCCCCGGCCCGAGACTCAGAGAATGCGCAGCCTAAACAGATCTGCACCTTCTGCCTGAGCAGCCAGAGGAAGCTGGTGAGCATGGTGTTGGGGTGCCCAAGGCTGCGGCTGGGGGGCTGGGGACAGCATCCACTGATTTACAGCCCCCGCTAGGCCGGGTGGCACCACGCAGCAAATCCCCCCAGCTTCCTCTCCAGACAGCGCGCACTCCTGGGGCCCGAACATCTGGGAAATTTAATTTTACAATTTCGGCTGCAGCAGTGTGCTCCCCTCCCCAAAGCTCGGGGGGAAACTGGGGGCCTGGCAGGGGTGCCGCAGCGCACCCCGTGGGGGGCCAGAGGCTCGGGCCAGCGCTGGGCCCTGCCAGGCCTGACCCTCATCCCCTGCCCTCCACAGAGCAAAGACCGGGACAGGAAGACGGCCATTCGGAGCTAGGACGAAGACCACGGAAGCGCAGCCTGGCGTGGGCCCTGCGGGAGCCGGCCTGCCAGGCCTGCCCGGCCCCAGCCCCGAGTGGGGCCACCGGACACAAATGGGGACACAGGGCACTAGCAGGGGGCTGAGCTGCTCCGGCCGGCAGAACTCTGGGGCCTCCCGCCTGGTGCGCCTCGGGCTGCTGCCTGCTGCCGTCTGTCTCTGCAGTAACAGAAGGCCTGGAAATGCCGTCTAAAACAGACTGTACTGCCCAGCGGATGCTCACTCCACCCCATGGCCTCCCCCTGGGGGAGGGGTGACAGGCCTGCCCCCCCACGCACCCCCAGAAGGCCGTGGACCCCCCTGCCTGGACAAGGAGCGCGCCCACAGCCCCCAGCAGCCCCTCCCACGCCGGGCACAGCTGGCCAGCCATTAAAACCCTGCAGGTGACAAGCAGTTTAGTGGCCTGAGTTCAACGAGCAGAGCAGGGAAAGGGGGCAGCCTCCCTCCTCAGCCGGGCTTCCGGCAGGGTGGGTGGGCGGGGCCTGGCCGGGGAGCCCAGGTGCCTGGGCCCACACGGGCATCCTGGCAGGACTGGGCCCCAGGGGCCCTCGGAGCAGGAAGCGGTGGGGTAATTTTGGAGGCAATTCTCAGAGCCAGAGCCGCAGCATCCAATCTGATAGAAATACAGGACAAAGTCGCCGCCACAGCTTTCCTTCACAGAAACCCAACCCCAGATTTCCTCTCCCTAATCCTGCAGGAGCCTCCAGCCGGCGAGGGGGGGCGGGGAGCAGGGACCTGCGGGATGAGGGGGTGCAGCCAGGGCTCCCTCCATGGAGTGACCCGACAGGGCCTAGACGCTACCTCCCTGCCCAGCTGGCTCCAGGGGGGGATGCCTGGTCACCCTGCCAGACCCACAGGCCTCCCATGTGCCCCAGGGGCGCCCACTAGCAGAGGACCCCCAGTGGGGTTGCTGCACGAGGGACCCCCAGGCGCCTAGCTGGCCGGGTGCGGCACGCGCTGGCTGAGCCCTCCGCCACGGGGCTGACTGCCGGCTGCAGCTTGGCCGGCCCCAGGCCTGGGCAGTGGGCCCGGCCGCTCCCCAGCTGCACCGGTAGCAGCAGCAGCAGCAGCAGCAGCACGGCGGCCGCGGGCTGAGCCAGCAGGAGGAGGGGAGGCGGGAAGAACACTCCGTCACCCACTCAGCTCCAGAAACTCAAACCAGACCGGGGGCGGCGTAGGCTCACCCATCAGGCTGCTTTGGCTGGCAGGTGCAACCCAGCCACCCCAGCCAGCAGGCTACAGGACAAAGACCTGGGGTCCCCTCTGCAGGGGCCCCACAGAGGCAGCTGCGGAAGCAGGCGGGGGCCGGGGGTGTGGGGCTGGAAACGCTGGCCCCGCCTCAGCTGTCAGCCCCCTGTCCCCAGCCCGGGGCACGGGCTGATTCATCACCAGGCAGCCGGCACCCAGGCCAGCAGCCCCGCCCTGCGCGGCACCTGTGGACTGCCAGGAAACACATGTGACCCCTGCGGGTCAGCCACCACACGCGCCCAGCGGGGGCACCCACAGGCCCGTGGGCTGGGCAGCGCCCCCCAGGACACCGCAGCCGCTGCCTAGGACTGCCTCGCCGGGATTTTTCCGCTCTGGAGGCGCCCCTCCCCTCCCCCTCCCCAAAGCGGCTGCAGCTGTCAGGACCACAGATTGGAACTGCAGGTACGGGGCTGGCCGGCTGCCCACCTCCCTCCCGTGTCTGTCTGCGAGAGAGGAAGCCGGCCCACCTCTGGAATCCTTCACTCTCTCCTCGTTCTGCCTCTCCCACCTGTCCCCGGGGAGCTGGGGGTCAGCCGCCCGCGCTCCGTCTCTCTCCTCCGCAACCCCTCTCCGATTACAATGGGGCAGTGTTCAGAGCCCGCTCCCGCACCAGACCCCGCCCGCCGGACACCACTGGGCTGTCCTGCGCCTCCTCCTCTCCTTCCTCTCTCCTTCCTCCTCTTCCTCTTTCCTTCCTCCTCCACCTGGTGCTTTTGGGAGCTGACCCCACACAGGGGTGGCTTACCCAGGGCCCACTCCCCCCAGTGCCCCTGGGTTAGGCCTGCTCCCCAGGCCCAGAGGATCGGAAGAGATTGCCACAGGGTCCAGCAGGCAACCCACGCAGCGAACCCCAGCCTAGCACCCTCGTAGCAGGGGACCCGCCTCCTGTCCAACAAGTGGCCCTAGCCTCCATGACTAGGCAGCCCTGCCCCCTGCCTACCACATGCTGTCCCTGCTGGCCTGCTGAGTGCCCCCCCGCCCGAGCTGGCAGGGCTCCCCCAGCAAGGGGCGAAGACGGATCTCAGGGGCCACTGGTCCCGAAAGGCTCCATGGGGGCACCTAGACCCCCTCGCCCTGCCCGTCTGAGGGGACACCCCCACCCGGGGGCAGCCACAGGTCACGGACGCACAGGCTCACAGGTGCCCAGCAGCTTCAGGAGGCGCTCACTCCAGAAGCAGGCGGGGACCAGGCCAGAGGGCCAGAGCGAGCCGGTCCAGCTGCCCGTCCAGAGACAGGCACGCAGGCAGGCTGGCGTGGACGGCCGCCAGGGCGGTCTGCAGGCCGGGCGCCCTCCACAACAGGACGGGGCGGCCGCTCGCTCCCACTGGAAACCTGAGCCGCCAGGCGCTGCTGCCAGCAGCGACGCAAGCGAGCGAGTGCGGGGCGGCGGCCAGGCCGCGGGCGGGGCCGGGGGGCCAGCGCTGGAGCAGCTGCCGGTTCAGTAGCTGGGAGAAGCCATTAACGGCGCTTGGCGAGAGAGCAGAGGGCTGGCGGGCTGCGGATGCAGACGGGCCGGCCCGGCGCGCCCCTGCCCCGGCCACGCTCCCACCCCCACCCGCAGGCCCCGGGGCCCCCGGGGGTGGCCGCCCCAGCCCCCAGCCCCCTCCCGGACGGGGGATGAGGTCACGTCTGTGACGCCTGGGTGCGCAGGGGCCCGGAGGGGCGCAGCTCAGCCGCTCCTGGGGGCTCGGGGACACCCCCAGGCCCAGCAGGAGTGCAGGGGGCCGCTGCGGGAGCAGTGCGCCTGAGGGTGCCGGAGTCTCCGGGAGGGGACCCGGGGGCGGGCGCGCACCTGCCAGGACACTGCTAGGTGACGGACAAGGATGCGGCCGGCAGCAGGGAGCGCCCCCCAAAGCCCCTCTGACCACGCCGCACGGGGGACCCGGGGCGACCTGGAGCAGGGGCTTCTCCGGAGGGGACGCGTGCTGCGGCGCTGTCATTCCGCACAGATGGCGGAGTCATCACGAGGAAGCAGCCCCGGCCCCCCGCGAGCAGCGCCTCCCCCTGGGCAGGCAGGGTCAGCCGGCCCCGCCCCCGCAGCACCAGCGCCGCAATCACCACCCCAAGTCTGCAAATACAAAAAGTTGCCGACAGGATGTGGCTGCCGACAGCCGGGGGCCGGGGGAGGGGCGGCGGCCGGGAGCTGCGCCGTGCGCCCCCCTCGCGAACGCCCCCCTCGCGAACGCGCCCGCGGCTCCGGCCAGGAAACCAATTTATTTTGTTTTGTCTCTGTTCTCGAGCGAGCGCAGAGCGCGGATCGGGCGCGCGGCCAAGACTCCAGTGGCCGCTGCCAAGACGCGGGGGCGGGGGCCGGCCGGCGGGGGAGGGGCGCGTGTCCCCGCCGGGGATAGCCCGACGGGCGGGCGGGTGGCCAGGGCCTCCCCAGCGCAGGGACTGCTGCCACCCGGGGGCCACCAGGGAGGGAAGCGCAGAGCCACTGACCCTGGTCACCCGGCCTGTCCTTGGGGCCCGTGGAGACAGACGCCATGCTGGCTACTCCAGGTAGGAGCCAGGGCAGGCCTAGGGCCTCCTGCCCGGGGGGCATCACTGCCCAGCCCACCTCCTCAGCCCTGCCACCTCCTCCCAGAGCTGCCTACCTCCTCCCAGAACTGCCCTCAGCCCCCGGCCTTGCCCACCTCCTCATCCGAGCTGTCCTCCGCATACTCGTCCCCACCGCACATGCTCGCCTCCATCTTCGGGCCAGGAGGACCAGAGGCCCCAGCCTGTGGAGAGGTGGTTACATGAGGGGGCTGCTGCAAATGACCTTGTCCCGAACCTGGGCTCAGGTTCCCAGACTCACAGCCCCCCACACCCCTAACACCAGAACCAGCTGTATGGGACTAGGAACGGGGGCTGGAGGCCTCAGCCAGCCCCCAGGGGAGCACCTGCCCAAGGCAGCCTAGCCACCAGGCAAGGCCGGATCCCAGCCCCCGGGCTGACCCCAGCGCTGGGCCAGTGTGGGCGTCCCTGACTGAGAAAACAGGCCAGGGTCCCTGCAAGAGGGCACCCCTGCCAGGGCCCCACTCCCCCCATGCGGGCCGCAGCCCAAGGCCCGCTCTTCCCGGCGTTTCCCTCAGAAAAAGGATGCAAGACTTAAGTTTTTCTGCAGGCCAGGAACAAAGCATTGGGTTTCCACGTCTCCCCAGCTCCCACTGCTAGCTGGGTGGAGTCAACGGGTGGGGGCTCGGCCCTGAGCCCCAGCTCCCGCCTCCACCCAGGACCCCAGCTCACACAGGCTGGCTCTGGGGGGTGCCAGGCCCTGAGCCCCAGCTCCCACAGGCTGGCTCTGGGGGGTGCCAGGCCCTGAGCCCCAGCTCCCGCAGGCTGGCTCTGGGGGGTGCCAGGCCCTGGGCCCCGGCTCCCTTGTCCGCCCAGAATCCCAGCTCCCGCAGGCTGGCTCTGGAGGGGTGCCAGGCCCTGAGCCCCGGCTCCCGCCTTCGCCCAGGATCCCAGCTCCCCCAGGCTGACTCTGGGGGGTGCCAGGCCCTGATGCAGGCAGACCCCAGGCCTGAGACGCAAGGTGTGATACCAGAAGGTGAGGCTGTGCCAGCACTGGTGCCTACAGGCCCTGATAGAGGAGGCAGGGGCACCGAAGGGCTCTCCGTGTCTCCCACCACTGTGCTCCAAGGCAGGACTGGCCTCTCCCCAGCAACTGCACAGCACATGGCGTCCACCAGAGGGCAGCAGTGGCTCTGGGAAGGCCACTGCTGGCCTAGAGCAGGGGCACTGCCCACAGGGCGCAGAGGCACCGGATGCAGCACGCTGGGAGACAGCCACAGCTGGGGAGGTGCCAACCTGCTGGCTATGCCAGGACCAGTAGCGCCATCCGGGTCTCCCATGTGCGTGGCAGGAGCCCGCGTCCTCTGGTGTGTGCTGGACAAGAGCTGGAGCTGGGCTTGAACCCAGGCCAAGGGATGCGAGATGACATCCGTCCTGGGGCCCAGAGCCGGCAGTATGTGCAGCATGAGGCAGCCATGTGGCCCCGCACACACGTCACACATACCAGACACACACAGACCACACCACAGTGCACATACCATGTACACGCATGCCACACACACCATACACAACACCAACTCCCACAGCTCACGGTTCAAGCAGCTGTGAGAGGTCAAGTCGGGCAGCAGTCCACAGGTGTAAGGTACACCCACACCCCTGTACACCTCAAGGCCAGCCAGGCAGCCCTACTGACCTGGGCCCAAGTGCCAAGGCACACGGTCGTGGCTGGCCGGTCTACGCCCAGCACACTGCTTGCCAGGGCCCAGGGGAGCACTGTCCCTCACCTGGCCAGGGAGGGAACAGACCAGCAGGGACTGTAAGGCACACACAAGGACCCGCAGTGTCCTGCCCAAGCGCACTCTGGAGTACCCCATGTTCCAGAGGTGAACAGGAGCACAGAAACACGGGGACATGGGGTGGGTGGGAGGTGGCAAACTCAGCACCCCCCACCCTCTCCCGTGCCCACCCCCCCACTGCGCCACCTCCACGAGCCAAGAGCTCCTGGTACAGGGACAAAACCCCCTGTGCCCAAGGCTGGCAGAGGCCCTACACCCCAACCTTCCCAGACCACAACCAGGGCCACCTAACGCAGGGCCCAGCTCAGCAGACTGTCCCAGGCCAGGGTGGTCCCAGGAACCCCACAGCCAAGAACAGAGCTGGGGGAAGCGGCTGTAGCTCCCAGTGCCAAATTCCTACAGAGGCCCATGCTGGCCCGTGCGGGTCTCCCATGCAGGGGTCAGGGACCCGGTCACTAGACCGACCGCCTCGCTAGGCGCCTGGGCCCACTGCAGCCATGTGGGAGACTCAGATGAGAGGCAGCTCCCAGCTTCTGCCCTGACACCACCTGGGAGTGAAGCAGCAGAAAGCCCCTCTGTGACTGCACCTTCCAGTCACCAAGCCAACCCCACCAGAGCAACAGCCCAGACCCCAGAGGGGGTTCCAGTGTCCACGAGGTCCATGCCCCGCCCTGGGCACCGTTCTTGGAATTTACCATGTTCTCAACAGTGCAGCGACTGTAGCATCTCTGACTGCAGGTGCAGCTGCTCCACACCGTCCACGGGCTGGGGGAAGGGCCCACACCGTCCATGGGCTGGGGGAAGGGCCCACACCGTCCATGGGCTGGGGGAAGGGTCCACACTGTCCACGGGGCTGGGAGAATGGTCCACAGGAGTGGGAGAACGGCCTGCCACTGTCCACAGGGGTGTGTATGTGAGGGTACACACAGCACCCTGGCACCTGCAGTGAGTCAGCTAACCCCTCAGACACTCAGTGGGGATGAACAGTGAGTCAGAAGGACCCTTCCCCAGCCAGTGGCCCACCAGGCACTGCAGTGGTCTTTAGCTGAACCCTGGCCGCTCTCTCAGCAGGCCCTTCAATCCAGATGTAGTGGCCAGGAGCCAGGCACTGCACCATTCTGCACGCTCCCTGGGAGGAGCCTGGCACAGCTGGCAGACATAGCAGCGGCCAGCACAGGTGAGAGAGCATGTGGGAGCCCCACACAGGGACATCAGCTGGAAGAGCTGCTGCCTGCAGAGCCGGCATCCCATATGGGCACTGGTTCAAGTCCCAGTTGCTCCACTGCCCAGTCACCTCCTACTGGTGGGGTGGGAAAGCCATTCCCCCACCCCTGTGATTGGGGTAGACGATAGACCAAGTGTTTGGGTCCCTGCACCCAAGCGGGAGACCTGGAAGAAGCTCCTGGCTCCAGCCCGGCTCAGCCCCGGAACTTCAGCAGCAGACAGAGTACCAGGCTCTCTCTCTCTCTCTAACTCTACTTTTAACTCAAATAAACAAATCTTTAAAACAGAAAAGCAACACACAGGTTAAGCACACGCAACACTGGTGTCCTTATGGTGTTCTCACTAAATTAAACGCCTCCAGCTGCCTCACCCACCTGTGCCTGCCGCCCAGGGCCACCCTCCGCACCAGGGCTGCTCACCCACCTGCGCCAGCCGCCCAGGGCCACCCTCCGCACCAGGGCTGCTCACCCACCTGCGCCAGCCGCCCAGGGCCACCCTCCGCACCAGGGCTGCTCACCCACCTGCGCCAGCCGCCCAGGGCCACCCTCCGCACCAGGGCTGCTCACCCACCTGCGCCAGCCGCCCAGGGCCACCCTCCGCACCAGGGCTGCTCACCCACCTGCGCCAGCCGCCCAGGGCCACCCTCCGCACCAGGGCTGCTCACCCACCTGTGCCTGCCGCCCAGGGCCACCCTCCGCACCAGGGCTGCTCACCCACCTGCGCCAGCCGCCCAGGGCCACCCTCCACGCTGGCTCCACCCTGACCCATATTCTCCTCGTCTTCCTCCTCCATGTCGTCACTGCCGGAGTCTTCCAGACCAGAGAACACGCTCTCTTCACTCTCTGAGAGGCCGGAATCACTGCCCTCGCTGTGGCTGGAGGCAGGACTGCCGAGGAGGGAGACCTGCAGGAAGCCCAAGCAGACAGGGGTCACTCCACAGCTGGGCTCCCGGCCCCTCCTCCAAGGACCAGCAGGGAGTCTTACCCAGCTCTCTACCCAATGGAAAGCACAAAGCACCAGTTCCACCCAGCCTTTGTGGACACCCACCGCAGCAGGGGGGGCAGGTCACCGGGTGCAGAGTTTGATGCCACCAGCCAGCGGTGAGCCTGGCTGGGGCACAAATCCCAGAAACCAAAAGGGCTGCCTCTCACTCCTCCCCGAGGCTGGGCATCCCGGGCAGCCGGGGCCTCTGTATAGCACACACGTACACAAGGGAGACCTGCGGCCTAGTGGGCAGCTGGCGCAGGCCTTCCAGCGCAGACTCGCATTCGGGGTCCAGTGGGCAATTGCTGCAGGGCCACCCCCGATACCCTCTCTGCCCCCCGATACCCTCTCTGTCCCTCGATGCCCTCTCTGCCCCCGATGCCCTCTCTGCCCCCCGAGCCTTCTCTACCCCTGAGCCCTCTCTGCCCCTGAGCCCTCTCTGCCGCCCAAGCCCTCTCTGCCCCCCGAGCCCTCTCTGCCCCCCGAGCCTTCTCCACCCCCGATGCCCTCTCTGCCCCCCGAGCCTTCTCCACCCCCGATGCCCTCTCTGCCCCCGATGTCCTCTCTGCCCCTGAGCCCTCTCTGCCCCCGGAGCCCTCTCTACCCCCCGAGCCTTCTCTACCCCCCGAGCCTTCTCCATCCCCGATGCCCTCTCTGCCGCCCGAGCCCTCTCTTCCGCCGAGCCCTCTCTTCCGCCCGAGCCCTCTCCACCCCCGATGCCCTTTCTGCCCCCGAGCCCTCTCTGCCCCCCGATGCCCAGGCCCCCGCCCCGGGCCTCCTCCACCGGGCAGCTGCGTCCCAGCACAGCGCGAAAGGCCAGGAGACCCAGATAATCGCCCCGCCATCCGCGCACGCCCTCAGCCACCTCCTCCTGCTCCGGCTCCGTCTCAGGACTCGGCCGCCGCTTTCCCCGCTGCGGCGCCAGCGCCTCGGCGCGCCCGCCGGCCCGCACACCCGCCATGCTTCGCCGGCCGCTTCCGGCAGACGCGGGTCCGCATGCGCACTCGGTGTCCCGGCCCGCCCTGCCGCTCCGGATTGGCGGGCGACGAGGGGGCGGGGAACCGGCGCGCATGCGCGCGGGGGCCGCGCCGCTGCGCAGGCGCTCGGCGGGGCGGGGCGCCGACGGGAGCGCGCCCGGCGCAAGATGGCGGCGGCCATGCGAGGCCCGGGCGCTGCGTGTGCGCAGCGGGCGGTGGCGCGGCCCGGGCGGCAGGCGCGGCGGCGACGCTAGCCCGGCCCTCGGCCCCTGCTCGCGGCCCCCGCTCCGCCGGCCTCGGCCGACATGGACCTGCCCGTGGGCCCCGGCGCGGCGGGGCCCAGCAACGTCCCGGCCTTCCTGACCAAGCTCTGGACCCTCGTGAGCGACCCCGACACGGACGCGCTCATCTGTTGGAGCCCGGTGAGGGGCGGGGGACCCGGCCGGCCTGCGCGCGGCGAGGCCTCGGGAGGTGGGGGCGTGCCGGGCCGTCACCTGTGGCCTCGCTGGGGCTGCGGTGGACGGACGGTGGTCGGTGGGCAGGGCGCCCGCCTGGACGGGGGTGTGCAGCCTGCTGCACGACAGGGCGGCGCTGGTCACCTTGGCGGAAAGGCTGGTGCGGGGCCTGCTGTGAGGGGACCCCGCAGCCCAGCGGGCAGAGAGGGGCTGCTGAACGGGCAGTGGACAGCGTTGCCCCCTGACAGGGCTGGACGGGGGTGTGGAGGCAGCTGGACCAGGACGTGGTGAGCGGGGGACCTGCTGTGAGGGGACCCCGCAGCCCAGCGGGCAGAGAGGGGCTGCTGAACGGGCAGTGGACAGCTGTGCCCTGCACAGGGCTGCACGACAGGGCGTCTCTGGTCACCTTGGCGAAGGGATGCGGTGAGTGGGTGGCCTGCTGTGTCAGTGGACCCCCACAGCCCAGAGGGGCTCATGAACAGGCTCCTCTCGTGAGCAGCCCCTCGGCCAGGGAGCCGCTGACCAGTTCTGTGCAGGATGCCAGCAGGGCCAGGTCACAGCGCAGCTAGTCGGGCCAGCAATGCACCTGGACGCTGGTTCCAGGCCCAGCGGCTCCACTTCCGATCCAGCTCCTGCCGGTGGGCAGGGGAAGTGGTAGGGGACAGGCCAAAGCCATGGGACCCTGCCCCGGTGGGGGAGAGCCAGAGGAGGCTCCTGAGTTCTCCTTGGCCTAGCTGGCCATTGTAGCCATCTGGAAAGCATACCAGTGAGTGGAAGAGCTCTCTGTTTTAAGTAACAAAGCTCCCCTGGTTTAGCTTGTGTGTCTTAACACGTTAAGAACTGAGGGAGGCGTGTGGCCCAGCAGGGCTGGCCGCGTGAGGGCAGAGGCTCCGGGCACCTCCCAGGCCAGCCGTAGTCCTCGGGTTTCAGGGCAGCGGGAGACCATGTAGGAGCTGGCTGTCCCCGGGACGGGTTACACTTCGTGGGTGAGCTCATTCTCATAGGGCTGGCAGGGCCTGGGCAGCGTCACCCAGCGATCCCACAGGCCTCGCCCGTGCCTGCCACCATTGCGTGTCTGTGTGGCAGCGGGCGAAGCCTGCTGTGTGATCTGTTCGTCCTTCAGTGAGGAGATGGGGCTCTCGGGTGTCAGGAAGGTATTAGCATGGTAAGATGTAGAAGCCTGGGCAGGCTAACCAGCGGCTGCCCCACTTCCCGTCCAGCTCCCAGCTGCGGCCTGAGAAGGCAGTGGAGGACAGCCTAGCCTTGCCCCTGAGCCTGCTTGCATGCATGGTCTTATCCTGAGTTTCATGTGGGGCCCACCTTCCCCTGCCTAAAGACGCAGAGAAGCAGGCGGCAGGTGCAAAGACAAGGCGGCCCCACACTGTCCTGCCAGTATCCTCCTGCCCATGGCCAGGAGGACAGGAATGGGAGATGGCCACACCCAGGACACCTGCCGAGCACCACAGCCCCCTTGGGGAAAGGCCTGGGGAGGGACCTGAGAACCTCCCGCAAGGGGTCTGGCTGACTGGAGCCCTCAGGCCTGTGGGCGCTGAGCCGAGGGAGAGGCCAGCCCCTGCAGGACAGAGCTGGGACCAAAGAGAGTGGGTCTGGGGTGGGCCGCCGTGTCCTGTGGCCACCTGCGGCTGCCTCACCGCGCCCGTGCCCTTGGTGCTGAGCGCTCCTGTGCCTCAGGGCTCCGAGGACCTGCCACGCATTGCTGTCGGCTGAGCAGGGCAGGCCTCCCTGGGGCGGGGGGGACTGGGGCAAGCAGACGCACAGTTCTGTGGCCATGCCGAGGTGTTGGTGCCATGCACGGTGAATGCAAATGCAGGGCCTGGCGTCACCTGCTCCTGCCTGCTCCCGACTCCTCGGCCAGCTCTTCACTACACCCAGGAAGGACTGACCAATAGCGGAGGGGCCCAGGTGGCAGGGACCCAGAAGCCTGACCCACCCAGCACTGTGAACCAAGAGGCTAGGGGCCCAGACTTCCTCCTGCCTGAACTCAGCACTCAGCAGTGGCGTGGAGTTCTTGTGTCCAGGACCCAATAAACAGCTGACAGAGGAGTCAGCACCACGGCATAGCAAGCCTAGCCTCTGCCTGCGGTGCTGACATCCTGTGGGCGCTCCTCCACTTCCCGTCCAGTTCCAAGCTTGTAGCCTGGGAAGGCAGTGGAGGGTGGCCCACGTGCCTGGACCCCAGACCCACATGGGAGACCCAGAGGAGTTTCTCGGCTCCTGGTTTTGGACCAGCGCAGCTCTAGCCGTGGGGGCAACGAGTGGAAGAGCTGGCCCCAGCTAGGCTCCTCTCTTCTCTGTGGAACTCTGCCTTTAGACGAGGGGATGGAGAAGAGAGAAGCCAGCAGGCAAGAGACAGCATGGGGGCGGGGGCAGCTCCTCCAGGCCTAGGGCCGTGCGGTGCACACACCTTCCCACCCGAGGACCTGTGGGGGCAGTGCTCGTGGCCACACTTGTCCCAACAGTGCAGAGGAGGGCATCTGGCCATCCTTGCTTGGCCTCCTGCAAGTGCGATGGCCACAGCTGGCTGCGAGGACGTCAGGGACATCTGGACTGAGGGACACGGCTACCCGCGTGGCTGTCAGCTCAGCCAGGACGAGCCAGATCTGAAATCAGAAAGACCAAGGACCCCGATGCTTACCATGGGAGGGGGGCTCTGCTGTGCTGTGGCGAGGGCACCCCAAGCAGGAGGTCTGGGCGTGTGGGGGGCTCTGCTGTGCTGTGGCGAGGGCACCCCAAGCAGGAGGTCTGGGCGTGTGGGGGGCTCTGCTGTGCTGTGGCGAGGGCACCCCAAGCAGGAGGTCTGGGCGTGTGGGGGGCTCTGCTGTGCTGTGATGAGGGCACCCCAAGCAGGAGGTCTGGGCGTGTGGGGGGCTCTGCTGTGATGAGGGCACCCCGAGGCAGGAGATCTGGGTGTGGGGGGGGCTCTGCTGTGCTGTGGCGAGGGCACCCCAAGGCATCAGAATAAGAGCTAGAGACAGGAAAACTGGCAGCATCGGCAGAGTCTTACGGGATGACGTCAGGGGAGGCCAGGGGACCCAGGCTCTGCCCTTAGTGCTGTCGTTTGGATAGATTCTGGTTACATTCCTGGTTACCCCACTGTGACCCAACGCCTGCTCGTGTGCCTGGTAAGGCAGCAAAGGACAGCGCCCATGGGGGAGACCTGGAAGAAACCTCTGGTCATTGCAGACATTTGGGGAAAGACCCAAAGGATGGAATGTCTGTCTGTCTCCCTTCCAAATAAATATGAAAAAGGAAAGTTTCCCAGACTTTGTAAAAGCCTTCACATCTTCCGTCTGAATATTGATACGTTCCTAGCAGAACAGCAGACAGCCAGACTAGGAAGTCTCACACTCGAGCCTCTGGAGAAGACTGGAGAGAGACCTTTAAAATAGTGGGTGTGGCCAGAGCCAGGACAGGGTGCGAGTGCTGTTGCACTGAGCCTGGTAGGGAGACGCTGGTGTGCAGGAGAGCTGGAGTGGGTCAGGCTAGACAAGGCAGCACCCATTGGCATGGGACGCGGGGCTGGGGCTGGACCTGACCAGGCAACTGCAATCAGCAGTGTGTGCACAGGCTGACGGGTGACCGACTGAACTGGACCCTGTGCTGGCTGGCACGTGCGAGTCAGGTCGGGGGTCACCCCAGGTGAGGTTTCTTGGGGGGACACCTCACCTGGACCACTGGACTCAACAGTGCAGCCACAGGGAGTAGCACAGGATTTGTGGTCCAACCTTGGAATGCATGTGTCAGAACTGAACTTTCTCCATTGCTGAAGCCTGTGCAGTGGACAGCACGCCCAGGTGCATGTGGGGAACAAGCTGGCCAGCTCCTTTGGCCACGTCGGGAGACGGAGAGCAGCCAGGTTGGACAGCTCCTGGCTGAGCTCTGGCAGTGTCTGGGAGAGTGGCTGCACTGGGGTGGGCTGTCGGCCAGCGGACCTGGGGAGGATCTCCTGGAGCTTGAAGCAGTGAGACCAACAGATGTCGGTGTCAAAACCACCCAGGCAAACCCTGGTAAGAGGACATCAAGTGGACAGCCCCATCCCCCAGCACTGATGGAGTTGGCAGACAGGAGTTACCCCCACCCCCAGATACAGGAGAAAAGAGAAGAAAAGGAAAATTAGAAGCATTTGTCCCACCTTCCCCCAGGCCTCGACCTCTCCCTGTGCAGTTAGTGGTCCTCATGGGCCTGCATGCTTGTGAACTGTGTAGGCAACATCAAAAATTTTTAAAAAGAGCCCAGTGGCGTGGCCTAGCGGCTGAAGTCCTCACCTTGAGCACAGCAGGATCCCATATGAGCGCCAGTTCTAGTCCTGGCAGCTCCGCTTCCCATCCAGCTCCCTGCCTGTGTCCTGGGAAAGCAGTCGAGGACTGCTTTGGGACCCTGCACCCACGTGGGATACCCAGAAGAGGATCTGGGCTCCTGGCTTCAGATCGGCATATCATCGGCCGTTGTGCTCACTTGGGGAGTGAATCATCGGATGGAAGATCTTCCTTTCTGTCTCTACTCCTCTCTGTATATCTGACTTTCCAATAAATAAATAAATCTTTAAAAAAAAAAAAACAAGGTAGGGAAAGGAAGTGTTTGCCCACGCTTGGCCCACAGTAGGGGAGAGTCTATGGCGACAGGAGGCCACAACGGCCCTCGCAGGGTGTGTCCTGGTGGTGACAGCACAGGAGTCGCATCGGAACCAAAGGGGGCTTGAAAGCCACCTGGCCCGCCCGTGCTTAGAAGCCCCAGTGGCTGTGTGAGCAGTACTGCAGTGAGGGGTCAGCAAGGATGGAGATGCAGCTGCAGTGTGGGACGCGTTGTCCGAGTACTGCGAGTCAGCTGTTGAAGAGTCGAGCGTTGAGGAAGAGAACCGTGCGGCTTGTGGAGCTGCTGTGTGAGCGCTGCCTCCGCACTTAATGACCCGGAACCACAGGCGCTGTTAGCTCAGCTGTGAGCGTCGC